ATAATAGTTTGGTTTCATTTTTGCTTGTGATATCCTGCAGATGCTGATATGGAGGACTATGGATTTGAGTACTCAGATGAGGAACAAGAGGAGCAAGATGTTGATATTGAGAATCAGTATTACAATTCAAAAGGTATTTCTAACAATTATTTTAACTTTTGCTTCTTTTTTATTTACAAGAAACAAAAGAAAATTCCTAGCATTTATGATTTGGGAATATTGATTTCACTTTGCGGTTCTAGTATAAAGTTGAGAAATTAGATCGTATTGTAACTTGTAAACTACTTTGTTCACTTCAAATCAGTGTTATGTTGCTCGATAGTTCTACGAAATGTCTAATCTAATTCATTTTCATTCAAGGGTGGTTGATCCATTTTTTGTACTGACCTCTGACAATGTTATTCTGTTTGTATACAGGTTTGGTTGAAACTGATCCAGAAGCTGCACTTGCTGGTTTTGCTGAGGTAGTGCGCATGGAACAAGAAAAGGCAGAATGGTAAGAATTTTATTCTCTGTGCTGTATAATAAATGAAAGATATGTTGGAGTTTGAAAACTTAAATGATCTTAGTCTGTGTGCTGTATCCTTTCTTTTATCATTATTAAGTCCATTATCTGTTACTTTACTTTTTGTATAAGTAAAGTTTCTCTTTCCTTTTCATTGGGTCAAACTAGATTACCTTACAGCTATTGTGTTTGTTTAGCGTATTCCTTCCCTTGTTTCTTGTACTCATTTATGTAGTGCACAGTAACATTATGTATTAGAGTCATTTCACAGTGATAATAAACCATTACGAATCACATTTCATATTTTATCTTACATTTTACCAGGGGATTTAAAGCTCTAAAGCAAACTGTGAAGCTCTATTATAGACTTGGAAGGTATAAAGAGATGATGGAAGCCTACAGGGAGATGCTGACTTACATTAAGTCGGCAGTGACTCGTAACTATAGTGAAAAATGCATAAACAGCATTATGGACTATGTCTCAGGTTCAGCCAGTCAGAACTTTGGTCTTCTGCAGGAGTTCTACCAGACAACCCTGAAAGCCCTTGAAGAAGCAAAGAATGAGGTTTAGACATTATCTTTGCCAGTGTTATCTTTCATTAATGAAGCCTTATGTTTAATTTTTTATGTCATTCACAGAGATTATGGTTTAAGACAAATCTTAAGCTTTGTAAGATCTTCTTTGATATTGGGGAATATGGACGTATGAGTAAGGTAAAGCGTATTATTTTGTGTAATGATGTAGCCTGTTGTCCAACTTAACTTTAATTTTGGTGCATCTATTTGTATATAGTAGTTTTGAGTAATTTATTGATTTTGTTGTCAGATCTTGAAGGAACTTCACAAATCTTGTCAAAGGGAAGATGGTACAGATGACCATAAGAAAGGAACTCAACTCTTGGAGGTTTATGCAATAGAAATTCAAATGTACACAGAGACCAAGAACAACAAAAAACTAAAGGTCAGTATTTTAAAAACTAAGACTAATAATTTACCTTTCCAATTTATTACCACTCTTTCCTGCAATTTAGCTTTTAACTATTTGCCGGAGTTTTCTTGATGCTTATGGGATGAGCTCAAATTCTCAAATGACATATTTTTGTTTCTCTTATTCTTATAAGAATTAAACTTGTTAGTTTTTTCCATTTAGAGTCTCCAAATCATGGTTTGGGCAAATGGCTGCTGGAGATGAACTTTTTGGCCAATTCATGGTTTTGAGCTTTTCCAACTGAAACCGAAGCATGCACTAGCTATGTTTTATGAAGACATTTGTTATTGGGAGTTGATATCAGTGAGTGGTTTTAATGGAGAAATCATTGAACCAAAGGTTTATGTAGGAACGTTTAGTGCATTAGCTTTCTATTAATAGAAATTCATCTAAACAGAGTTAAATATAAGAAAAGTATAAAATCATGCACGTCAAAACAAGGTGGTGTGATATGGTGCATCCCTCTTAACTAGTCTTTTGCTAGTGGAAAGTTCTTTACCAGTATTTATCAGTCTCCTTTGTATTAAATGCAGCAACTTTACCAGAAAGCACTTACTATTAAGTCAGCAATTCCCCATCCGCGGATAATGGGAATAATTCATGAATGTGGGGGGAAAATGCATATGGCTGAGCGCCAGTGGGCGGAAGCAGCGACGGATTTTTTTGAAGCTTTTAAGAATTATGATGAAGCTGGGAATCAGAGGCGTATCCAATGCTTGAAGTAAGAAACAGTGACATTTAAATTTTTAATTTAGTTATCAATTTTAAACCATTTGCAAAACAATATATTTCTGTGTTTCATGATTGTTAGTTAACTACGAACAATCAATTTTGGCAGTAATTTTGTAAAGGTATATGATATATTGTCCATATAAAATGAAATCCATCTTTTCCTGAGATTCGGCATTTATGCCCCACTACTTGCATATTAAGCAAACATGTTTCTTTTGGCATTTAACTTGTGACATAATTGCTATTACATGTCAGATACCTTGTTCTTGCCAACATGTTGATGGAGTCTGAAGTAAACCCTTTTGATGGGCAGGAGGCTAAGCCGTAAGTCTTTGTCTTTAATTAATTTATTTGTTTGAGTAGCGATGTTTTCCCTTGAAAGATGCTTAATTAATTACATTTCCCTTCTCTCGTATGTTAAAATATACACTTCCCTCCTGTTAAAAATCTATGTGTTACATTTAATCCAATTTAATGTAAATGAGTATTATTTTTAGAGATTTCTGTTTCTTATCTGGTAATTCTCAACATGATTATTAGCTAATTTTGAATACTTATAATCAATTCTGTGACCTTTGAAGATGAAATAAATATTTTGAATGAAATTTGAAAGCTGATAATGACAAAGGTATTTAGAGCTTCATTTTAATACTAGAAGCACTAAGGTATTTAAAATTAGTTGTTTGTGACACTGAAAGTTGTAGAAAAAACTAACCTTTCATTGGAAGACACTTTCATCATTACTCATCACCACTGTTTTGAAAACTGGACCGACTGGTTGAACCGGGAACTGAACTAGAAACCAATCTGTTTCTTGCAAATAACCGGACTTTAATTAAACTGGAACAAAATTGAAAAAACCGGCTTGGTTTTTGGGTCAAACTGGTTTTGGTAAACAAAAAAAAATTTAAAATCAAATTTTTTTAATATAATTTTTTTTATAAAAGATATAATATATTTGACTTTTTTTTTATCTTATTTTAATAATTATGCATCTGTTATTCTCTACTATATTTATAATTTTTATTATAACTTACGATAACCATGACAATAATTTTTATTATTATTTTTTTATTTTTATAAAAAGCGTTATTACTAATAAATTTATTATATATTTATTATATTATAAAAATATTATTTTATTAAATCTGGTTAAATTCCAATTGAACCTTTAACCCTGAACCCATGTTTTCTCCGGTTCGGTGAAACATTGCTCACCACTGTTAAGTGGTTAGCTTATATTGAAAAGATTTGAAGTGAAACTTATATTCATCTCGTAGGGGAGAGAAGTGTACGTATGTCTAATTTAAAATAAGAGGGGGGTAGGGGTGTAATTTAAGCAACTCCCATGGTAAAGGAGTATAATTTTCTCTATTTTTTTTTTCACTGTCCTTGCTCATTTTTCCCATTCTCTGATCCAATTCCCTCTTTCTTTCTTTCTGTTTTCACTCGTATATTATGTATTACAGATACAAGAATGACCCCGAAATTTTGGCAATGACAAATTTGATAGCAGCTTATCAGCGGAATGAAATATTGGAATTTGAGAAAATCTTGAAGGTATTTTTATTGATTCTTGCATGAGAATATGCCTGCACTTTTTTGACCTTGAACGTTTCTTTGCATTTATGCAATATTTGTTGGAATTTGATATTGGGTAATTTTCTATCCAGAGTAACAGACGAACCATCATGGATGACCCATTTATTAGAAATTACATTGAGGATCTGCTAAAGAATATCAGAACGCAAGTCTTGCTGAAGCTCATAAAACCATATACAAGGATCAGGATTCCTTTTATATCTAAGGTGAATGTGCACACACTACTCTTAACTAAATAGTGAAGTACATCTTTTCTATAAAAAAAATTGTCAAATACTTGTTTACAACAACCATTCCCTCCTCTCATTTACACTGGATTCTTCCCTTACTATCCCTCCCCGCCCTCAATTACGAGGGACTTAAGTTTCGGTTTTTCTGTAGTTGTTATGCAATAAAGCCTATTATTTGCAGGAACTTAATGTGCCTGAGAATGATGTCGAGCAGCTACTGGTATCGCTTATCTTGGATAACAGAATTCAAGGACACATTGATCAAGTCAACCGGCTCTTAGAACGCTCTGATAGGTCAGTTTTTATGTTCGATTGGTTTCTACTGGGTTTAGTCTATTCATAATTTTGTTAGTATAAAACGTTGTAATTTAACATTAAAAATGCATGTTCAGGTCGAAAGGAATGAAGAAGTATACTGCCGTAGACAAGTGGAACACACAGCTTAAATCTCTTTATCATACCATCAGCAACAGAGTTGGGTAAACGTGGTGTCTGTCGGGAGAGTTATCTGTTTTCTTGTCCCAGCTGCAGTTTTGTCATATGTGAATTATTGTAGCTATTATTGAAAGTTAGAGATATTGCACCAAAAGTGGAACCAAATCGAGACCCAACTTGTGATTCGTGTTCTATTTTATAAAATATAATTGTATGAAATTCATGATTGATTCAAGGGGATTCATCTAAATTTTTGTGTGCCAAATATATCTGTGCAGTACATTTAGGTCTCCTTTTTGTAGTCATTAAAGATCATTACAACGCAAAAGAGGTCACTATGACTAACCAGCCATATATAGTACAATATTAAATATCAAATACAACACAAAACAAGTCCATATGAATCAACCAGTCATAATACAATGTTAAATATCAAGAAAACACAAAACATGAATCACAACTGAATACATTATTGAATTCACGTTCTTCTCCTTGGAAGTTCTGATCTTCAGGCTTGGGTCACCTCTACTGTTTCAGAATTGTTGTCATTGTCTGGATTGGTAGAACAGGGTTCTAGCAAGCTCTCCTTCTTTGACTTATTTTCAGAGTCTTTCCCATGCTCAATAACTGAGACGCCAACTTTTGGTTGGCCCAGGACTTCTTCATTAATCCAGTTTCTCAATAGATTGGTGGTCACTTCATCTGTTTGAGACAAGACAAGTTAAATTCAGTTTCTAGAGTTAAAGACAACCAAGAAAGACGGGGAGGAAAGCAATAACACACCTAATCGGGGAACAGTGTGACCCTGGGGGTGCTTTAATATTAGTGGTTTGTCAAATGCAGATGCGAGATCCTCAGAAGGCAGTTTTAGCCAATCTTTCTCCCCAATGAAGTGAACAGATTTAGCTTTGATGGGGTCTTTGTAGGCAACATCGCATATGCTGGGATCTCTGAATTTGCTTCCTGATATTGATATAAAAAATTTTATGGGTGGATGCTCCTTTAGCACCTTTCCCTGTTAATTTCAAGTTCACTAGTCAGAATTTTGTAGTTGAATTTAAATGACAATCAAATGATAGTAGTATTTTACTTGCCTGTGCCTGGTAACCAAGCAAAAGTGCAGAAAGAGTTGCGCCCTGATCAAGGAAGAAAGCTGGGTTTAGTAGTAGTTATACATGATAGTAATATACACTAGTAAAATCCAGAAGGGATTGAATTTTGGCGCAACTATGAATGTTTTACCTGTGAGAAGCCAAGGAAGCCATCAAAGGGACCATTGGCTGTAATGTATTCACATAAGTATGCGATGCATTCTTCCAAGTTAAAGTACACTGTGAAGTCCTGAGCAAGATTTGTGTAAATGTAAGTTACTGTGAAGTACGCTGTGAAAGAGGTGAGGATCTAGTATTTCTACCTTTTCAAATTGAAACCACTCATAGTAAGGTGGAGGGAAGATGCCTTCTATGTCAGACTTCCCTCCAGCAGGGAATTTACCATCTGGGAATTCCTGTGACAGTAATACAGTTTAGATTCTCCATATCTTACATGCTGACATTTACATGTAGCTTTTTTCGTTTTATTGCTTTCATCTTGTACTTAGGAAAAATCAAGACTACATTATACTTAGCAGTGAACTATACTGTATTGAGCTGAAAAACGTCAGTAATTATTCAGAGCAAGGGGCAATAACCACTATCAACAAAGGAAGAATTTGGAATATCCAAGAACAAGAGCTTAGGTTAAAAGGGCTTCATGCATACAGTCGAACATTAAAATAGTAACAGTAAAAACTATATATTACCATATCAAATTGAGTGAATAAGGAAGGTTCCCATTTGCTGATCTGCTTTTTAAGAAAACTGCCACTGGTTCTGAATCCATGGAGACATAGCACTTTGAGCTTCTTTCCATTTTGTCCTTCCATCTTTGTTTTCCCACTGCCTCACAACTCACAACGCTTGTTTGTAGGAAATGGAATGTATTTAGACTAAACACTGCTCCTACCTACCTTCTCTTTTAATGTATTCCAACAACCACCTTATTTGACTCTGCGGGTTGGTATTGCACGTGCAAGCCTTGCATTCCATGCCTTCTAAAAGTTTGAAGTATTTAGTCACTTCCTCGAAGAACAGCTTATTACTCAAACCGGTATAAATTTTAAAAAGTTCCGGATTTATCCCGTGAATAGAATATAGTAAAAAAAATAATTTATTAATATTAAATTTTATCAATATAAAAAGAATACATTATTTTTAAACTAATGAATAAGTTGTGTTTTGAAATAAGTTGGAGAAGTCATATTCTAAAATAAGATTTTATTTTTTTCACACAAAAATCATACACATATATACGATTTCTTCGTATCATTTAATCCAAGACTTTAAAAGATTTTTTTTCTTTTCGAAGTTGTCTTTTGATGATTGACTTTAATTAAATCTAGTTTTTTTATATTGAAGTCGTCAATCTATTGACAAATTTTAGTTTAATTTTTTTATACTAAAAATCATCACTTTAGTTTATATAAATAGATTTTGTTAGTTATTTTTTATTTTAAATTATTAAAAGATTTATTTTAATAGTTATAAGATTAATAAAATAAATAATTAATTAGTATTTAGATGTTAATAATATTAAATAATTTTTAAATATATTAAATTATTAAAAAAATGTTAATATGTATATGAGAAAAATATTAATATATTATATAAAAAAATAAAATTTTACAATTTCATTATCAAAATTGACAATTATCACAATGATGACTTTAATGTCGATAAAATGAATATTTCTTTAAAAAAGTGAACTCAAGCATATGATGGGAGCAAACATGTACATGACAACAAATTTCGCTGAGGGCATAAACTCAATTTTGAACAGAATACGTGTTTTACTCATATGTACTATTATGAAATTCACATTTGAAATAACTAAATTATGGTTTGTTGAAAAAGACACCAAAACATAGTGCACTTTACAAACATGACTAATGTCAGATCTTTATCATTGATTTTGGAAGGCCAAATAATATATTATTAAAAAATAATAAATAAATTTAAAATGGTGAAAAAAGACAAAAGGGTGAGAGAATAAAATTGTAAATGTATAAGTAAATATATTAAATGATCATTAAGTTTGGGGGACAAAATCATAAATTATATAGATTTACAAAACTGAGGATAGACTAAAATGATAAAATTATCAATATACAAGTAAATATATTAAATGATCATTAAGTTTGGGGAGACCAAAATGATAAATTATATGAGAGTTACAAAACTTTGGAGGGGTCAGACCCCCTTCAGTTCCCAAGAAGATCCGCTACTGAGCATGATATCATTATCTAGAAGAAATTACTAAATTGATAAAAGAAAATGAACAATGTACAGATATGTGTATTGTTCATTTAAAACTATAGTTGAGAAAATTGAGTTTGATTATCAAATTCTCAACGTGGTGAACGTCCCATAAATTATACACTCAAATTAAATGACTGGTGCTCATGTCATTACTGTATGTACATATTGTCATTTATACATTGATACATATATTAACCTAATGTACGAGCTACAAATTATGAAGTGTAATTTCTGTTAGAATTAATTAATAAATTAATTGTCATCGACTCAAATGTGATTTAATAAAATATAAGGATCAATTAGTTATTATGAGAAGTCATAATAAAAATAAAAATAAAATAAAATAAAAACTTACTATAACCAACTTGATAGATGTTGGTTAATAAAAGGAATTAGAGTTTTGTCTTTGGTTATAAAGGTTTTCTCAAAGCAAATTATCGGAAAGTGTGAGAGAAGAAAGAGAGACAAAGAGATAGATTGAGAAAATGAGGTTGAAAAAACACATTCTTATTGGATCTCTCATGAAGGTTAGTATCATATTATGATTTATGTATGTTAATATGCGAGAATCATGAATATTAAGATCCCAAGTAGTTTTCTTGAATTGAATTAGGTACGTAAGAAAAATTATAAATAATTTTACATGTGGTATCAAAGTTTGGTTATTAGATTTATGATTCTCCTTTTATTATGATAGTTTTTTTCCCAAATTAAGATAAACCTAATTATGAATTTATGGATTTCTCTATCAAATTAGCATAAACCCTAATTTATTCTAAATTTGTTTACAAACCTAATTATAAGTTTTAGGAATTTTATGTTTTCCGCTGCAATTGATTTCAAATTGGATTTATAAAATTATGAATATTTGTAATTAGATCAAACAATCAAATCCCATAATTGAATTGCAAATTGAATGTATATCTATCGTGTCTGTAACGAACCCTGCAAGTATGACCCCTGCAAACATATGTATACCTATCATGAATGTAAGCATATGTGTGTTTTCATCGCCATTCTGCGTGATTGAATGACCCACATTGGTTTCTCAAGCATGTTATAATAATCAAGATGAACAAAAAAATCATGTATGTAATTTTATTGAATTGAATAACTTTAGTGCAATGATGTTATTGGTGTACATCACCAATTAATGTTGATATTTTATTATATAAATAATGTATTTTTAATTTGCAATAATGTGTATGTTTTGGTATTGTTAAATTAAAAAATTAATAGAAAATACTATGAATGGTTAATAGTAACTAAAAATGTTATTTATTTGAAGTTAAACATGATAAACTTTGTTAGTCCCTGGTCAAAATTTTAAGGTTATTTAGTTTCAAATTATTAATGATATTATTTCAATTACACATAAATGCTAAAATTATGAATAATTGATTTATGAGTTAATTGAAGTTCATTATTATAAAGCATTATTGGATCACCCAAAGGTCGATTAGTTGTTATTATAATTAATAAGCACGATGGTAGATAATTTTGTGTGGGTCAGTAGTTTTATTTATATATCCAAAGGTGTCAGCTGATTCTAGTTTATGCATATTTTAATTATCATTAATGTTATAAAATAATTAACATCATTATGTTTGTGTATTATTGTGTCTCCCAAAGAAAAACATTAGTTTATGCTTATTTAAGTTTGAATATGTGTCTTATATTTAATTTATGACTCAAAAAGTTAATGTTATACATGTGTTAATTGTAATATATGTTCTTGTATCTTTACATTTGCTCACTACGGTTGTTTCAGTCTTCAATTGGTTAAATTTCCCTGATTGAAGTGAATAAGTCCAATTTCACTTAGGTGTGTATCTTGATTTAGCTTTACAAGTTGAAGAATTGTCTGTTATCATTGATGCTAGTAGTAATAAAGGGAAAACTCATTATAGAGCTTAGGAAATGTCAAACAAACTCAGTATGATGTTTATGCAAATGAGCATAGCAAACAATATTTAGTCTGCTCTTCCCAAAATCGAGAATGCGAAAAAATTTATGAAATTTGTGGAAAAGTGCTCCCAAACTGCTGACATTGATGAGTACATTGACCACCATGAAGTTTGATAGTTCTTGTAGTATACACGAACGCATAATCAAGATGAAAAATATCGCAACAAGATTCAAGTCTCTTTGGATGACAGTGGAAGAAATTTTTCTTGTGTAATTCATGTTGGACTCGTTACTGTCTGAGTATGGTCCATTCCAGATGAACTATAACATCATGAAAGACAAATGGAATATGCATGAATTGCACAATGTGTTAGTTCAGGAGGAGATCCAACTCAAGAACCTAGGAAGCCACTCTGTTCATTATATGAAAAATCAAGGAGTTGAGAAGAAAATTGTTAAGAAACATGGAAAGGGTAAATGACCATTAAAGATTAACAAGTCTTTTACTAAAATTCAGAAGAAAAATGACAAATGTCATTTCTACGGGAAGTATGGACATTTTCAGAGAAACTGCGTAAAGCTTGGTTTGAAAAGAAAGGTGAACATAATGCTTACATATGTTTTAAATCAAACTTAACTGAAGTTCTCCATAATTCTTGGTTGATAGATTTTGGATATACGACTCATGTTTCTAATATGATGCAGAGATTCCTTTCAACCCGAACCATACACCCAAATGATGGGGAATAGAGTGAAGGTTCAAGTGGAAACTGTCGGGACTTATTGTTTAATCCTTGACACTGGATATCATTTAGACCTTATGGATGCTTTTTATGTACCTAGTATCACTAGGAATTTAATTTCTTTGTCTAAGCTTGATGTTGTTGGATAATCTTTTAAGTTTGGGAATGATTGTTTTAGTTTGTTTAAGCTTACTTGTATGATTGTATTTGTTACACTTTATGATGGTTTATAATTAAATTTGGATAATTTATATGCTAAAATTTTTTTGACCTTGCATCACAATGTTGACACTAAACATAGTTTGGTGGATGAACTATCTGCTTACTTGTGACATAAGAGTTTGTGATATATTTTCAAAGAAAGAATGCAAATATTAGTAAGTAATAAAATTCTTATGGATTTAGATTTTACTAATCTGAATATATGTGTGGATTGTATTAAAGGCAAACAAATAAAACACACAAAGAAAAGAGCCACAAGAAACACTTATTTTCTTGAAATCATACACTCTAATATACGTGGTCTATTTGATGTAAATTCTTACAATAAAGAGAAGTATTTTACCACCTTTGTTAATGATTTCTCGTGTTATGAACATGTTTATTTACTGCATATTATGGAAGACAATTAGATAGAAATGTGAAAATTGTCAAGTCGAATAGTGGTAGTGAATATTATGGAAGATATGATGAAAGTGGACAACACCCTAACCCGTTTTCTAAGTTCCTTGAGAATGTGGTATTTATGCTCAATACACAATGTTAGGCACACCACAACAAAATGATGTGTCAAAAAAGCATAATCAAACCTTAATGGATATGGTTATGAGTATGTTAAGTAATTTATGTTTACCTGTATTGTTGTGGATGTATGTTTTGAAGATTGTCATATATTTGTTGAACAAAATTTCTAGTAA